CCCCAAAACCCCAAAACCCCAAAACCCCAAAATACACAAAAGATATTGAATAAACAGTAAAATGATAGAAAATACAACATCTTTGTGAATGAAGAGAAACAGTGAAAATAGTAATAATTTAGGATGATCCAACAAATCACCAGTCTAATCCTCAGATGTACTAACAACATGACTCTCTCGATGGAATCAGAAAACAAGAAATCAGGAGAAGATCATAAATATTTGAACCTACTAGAAGAGAAGGTCAACCAAATGACAGCAACTATGGACGCATTAAAAGAAGAAGAGAATCCTAGTTATGAAGAACTTAAGGTTGAGGCTATTGGCAATTTCAAACAACTGTTAGAAAATCACCAGTTTAAGAGTTTTTGAGTCAAGAATTACCTTCGATTGATTTCAGATTTCCTCAATATTAATAGTGATGACCTTGATATGATATTAGAAAGATGAAACGACATTATTGAAGAGGAAAATAAAGAAGATTTGATTAATGAATCACAATACGTAAATTTTGATTCTGATCAACTCCTTGAAGAAATTAAGCATAAAGAGGCTGCTCTCGAACAACTAGAATATAAATATAGCCAGTTCAAACACAAAGTGATGGAGTTTCTGAACCCTTCAACACTTGTAGGACTCGACCAAGCATGTCATCTGTTTCAGACAAAAAGCTCTAAAATAAAAGAAGACCAAACTCTAATTCTTGATTTCACTGAAGAAAACGACATTGAATTCACTCAAGAATTGCAAAGCTATATTTTACCAAATTTAGTAAATTTTCAAGTGAAAAGAATAGCGAAAGACTTAACTATTTTTAAAGATTTCATATTATCCTCATTTCCTAAATATGTGACCAGTTGACATTTAAATTATAATGGAGGTCTAATAAATTCTGGAAACATTTTGGACATTATTTTGTCAATAAGCCAGAATGTATCTGAATCATTATGTCTCTATTGATTTAATATTAATCAAATAGAACTTAAAAGAATCTTTCAAATAACAAGACAGAAGAAAAAGACTTTAGCGTTTTTTCGCTGTAATATTGACTTGAATTCAGTGCCTGATCTGGAAAATGCTCTTCATGGATCTATCATCCGGGATCTTCATTTTGAAAATTGAGCTAATTCAAAATATGGCGATTGGAAGAGTCACCCGGAAAGATTTAAGCATCTGATCATAGGGTTGTCCAAAAGCAAAGATTTTGTAAATAGTTTTGAAACTATTTACTTAAATAATTGAGGGCTTAGCTCAGAAACCATCATTCAGACTCTTGATGAAAATGGCTTTACAAAAGTTGAACCCTATGATGATACTCAGAAAAAGGAAGGATCTTTAAGGAATCAATAACTATTAATTTGTTTAATTTCTAAACCTAGGATCAACCATCCAGAAGCATGACAGAATATTATCAAACTTTAGTTTATGTAACGCCTTGATCAAAATAATTATCTGAGTCTCAAACTTTCCCCTTCAGATGTTTTCAGCCACTTAGGTTTCATGTAGGAATAAATACTATTTGGTGGGATCCAAATCTTAGCTTCTTAGAATTTAATTCTTGATGTAGTATATAGGTTTTAGAAATCAGAGGGTTTGGAATAGTTTAGTTCTAGTAATTTATTGTGATAGCATGACATCAAGACTGAAGAGGCCAGATCTTCTATGCTCCTAGTATTCTATTTTGATCAGCTTTTGGGTTTTTGTGTGTTGGATATGATGAATGTTGATATTTTGTAGATAAAATAAGGCAAGTTTGAGATATTGTTAAGAATTAAAGTTTGAATTATCTTTGATACCGATCAAAATCTTCATCTTAAAAGCTCAGTAGCTTAATAGCTTAGTTCAGAAACTAGTTTTATATTATTTAACTCAGAAATATTTCTGTGCATTTAAGCATGTCCCAGATTTTTAAACATTGCAACAGTACTGATATAAATACTTCAATAAAACGCATAGAGATCAAAAGAATTATCTTAATTTTTATAAAAATGCTTAATAAATAGATGATATAAACACAAAAAACATAGCTAAATTTGTCTTTAATGGCTGAAGTCTGTTTGCGAGATGGAGCTATGAACTTTGATTCTACCAATCTAAAATGACTCCTTTGAAGTAAATTATTCCCTCAGTATGTCATTTTAACTCATAAATTCTTACTGATACCAAGCTTAAATTTTATTATTAAAGTTGGATTTCTCTAATTTCAACATTCTTGATCCTATCATGCATATTTTAAGAGCTTTATTCATAATTTCTCAATTTAGTTCACTCTTTTATTAAAATGCTCCTTATCACTATCTCCATAACAAAGACTCTTCTGTTCCTACACAAAAACTACGTTCTCAGGTTTCCTAAATATTTAAGAAACCCGGAAATTGTTGAAAATTACCATTTCCTTCTGCTTAGAATTTTCTCTTGTTATACTCCTTTTGCATAAAATCTGCGTGCTTCTTCTCTATGTTTATGTCTATTAAAGCTGCTTTAAATTAAGCCATTCAGCTAATTTGAATTAGACTTCAAATATTAACGAAATATTTGCTTTCTTCTTGATGTATGCGATGGCTCTTCTGTTTCTCTCCAATGAACAGCAGGCTGCAGCCCGTTGAGAATTTGGAGCCAAAATTAGGGTTTTTGAATAAGATTCTTTTATAACGATTTCCCAGTTTTATCTATTTTATATCTTTTTACGGGGTTTTGGGGTTTTGGGGTTTTGGGG